CCTCTCTTCCAACATGACATCTCTCTTAGGGCGTCTCAGATGGTCACCCTTCCCCCACCCCCGGCTTCCTAGAAAACCCACATCTCCGTTTCTCTCTGCTGCTCAGGTTGAAAGACTTGGATCCTTCCCCACTTCACCCCCAGATTCTCAGTACTCAGCACAGCCATCCATCTGCCTCTGTAGAAGGTGCCCCCAGCCAGTACCACGATGATGGCTGCCCACCGACTCCTGCCTGGAGGGTGGCAACGGCCTGACTTGTCGCTCTTTCTGAATTTATCCTCTTCCCGCTGCCCCTCCTCCCCCACATTCAGTTCTTAATCCAGCACATGGATGAGCAGGTGCTGAAACACAAATCAAGCCAGGCTACCTTTCTGGGAGCTCCCCTATCAGGGGTGCCCGGCCTTTGGACACGCTGACACAACATTGTCCTCTACAAAGTTCACCCCTGAGAATGGCATGACCAAGTCACCAAAAGAAAAAAATTTCATAATGTTTTGAGTAAGTTCATCGTTTCGGGTTGGGTGCCTTTCATAGCTGTCCTTAGTGGTGTTCAGCCTGCAGGGGACACACCTGCCAGTGGCTGCCACCTGGTGTGGAGTCAAAGCTAGCATCCTTCTCACGTGACTGCTTCTTGACACTGCTACCATGGTGGTCTCATCCCAGCATTGCTGGCCTTGCTCTGAACACCGTGGTCTCCACGCTGGTCAAAAACACTGCCTCAGGACCTTTGTGCCTGCTAGTTCCTCTGCTAGCCATCTTTCTTTTATTTATCACGGATTTGTGACTTGCCAGATGTTATTTGTTCCTCTCTCTCTCCTTCAGATGTGTTTATTCAGCGTTACCAAGCTCTTCCCTGTTTACCCTGTATAATCGCTAACTGTCTTTACCTGGAAAAGAGAGCCCTTAAAAAAATGTTTGTTATTTTTAAGTGTGTGTGTGTGTGTGTGTGTGTGTGTGTGTGTGTGTGTGTGTGTGTGCCTGCAGAGGCCAGAAGAGGGCAACGGATCCTGGAGCAGGACTCACAGGCAGTTGTGAGTCCCCGGATGTGGGTGCTGGGAACTGAACCCGGGTCCTCTCCAAGCTCTCTTAACCATTGAGCCATCTCTCCAGCCCCAGAAAGCCCACATTTTGCTCTTGTTTTCTCCCTGTGCCTTTGTCTCTACATGGCCTGCAGGGCTGGCTTCAAGCAGCTTTTTGAGCTGGGCTGTTACATGGGCCCTGGGTCTAGAGCCCTGTGCTTGATTTGCGTCTGTCTTGAAACTCTTTGTGTGTGTATAAACACATGTGCAATGTATATTGAACAATGCGCCCACAACTTCATTGACTGGGGCGCGACCCATCGTGTTCATGGCTTCTAGCAAGAAGCTCTGCGGTTTACTTCTTTTATTCCTTTGGTGGCCCCTCCCCCACTTGAGTGTGAGCGAGCTCCTCCCATCCCAAAGCACAGCGGGATGCTCAGATCGGACTGGGTGAAGAAAAGAGTCTCCAAGCTGGCAGGAAGCAGGGGAGTGATAGCAAAGTCCCCCCTCTCTTCAAGTGAGCTAGTCACGCTCTCCCTGAACAATCGGCGGCGTCCTCGCTTTAATCTGTTCCCGCCAAGAAACTTGGCACGCTTTAGCCCACGAATAGCCCTTTGTTCCTGAAGTTTTCAAACCCTGTTTCTGAGAACTCTACAATGATACCCCTTGCTGTGACGTGCCCTAGGAGGGGGTTCTAGGGGGGAAAGCCGAGACTTTGAGGAATCAGAAGTCAAAAGCCAGACGGAACAATCCAGGATGAAACGCTGTCAGAGCCTCAGGCTGGTGCAAGCGTCCCACCTGAGGCAGCTCCTCGGAGGATCTTGGTTGATAAGAACCCTCGGGGTCGTCTAGGATGTCAGCATATTGATTTCTTCCCAAGCTGGGCGATTTCATTCCAGGGGAGGAAGGACACCGGGCGTCTGGCCCGTCTGTGGCGGGACTCAGACAGTTGCACTCTGTCCTGGCTGAGTTCTTGCCACACTGGTGTCCGAGCCTTAGTTGTGTAGGCCCAAGAAAGGCACTGAGGCAGGAGGGAAAGGTGAATCCAGGTTCTCATGGCTGGGTGAGCTGTGATGGAGGCGGGAACAGACGCCAGGCAGGGCTGAGCAATGGATGTGTTTGGTGGAGGAGACTCAGACGTGGGAACCATTATTTGGGACTCATTTTTTTTTTAAATGAGAAATTGTTTTCTGATTACTCTTTGATTGGCTTTCTCCACCTCCCCATGTTTTGTCTTAATGTAGCCCAGGCTGGCCTTGAGCACACTGCACAGCTGATCATACCCTGGACCTCCTGATCATCCTGCTTCCGCCTCCCGAATGCTGAGACTGTAGGTGAGCATCCTGGTGTCTACAGATCTGACAGGCTTCGTACATGGATCTTTGCAGAACTGAGCCACTCGGAAGTCTGCAATGTGGCTGGGCCCCGCAAGCTCAGCCTGCTGGGTTCGTGACACAGCGGCTCCTGCAGAGGTCTTGGTGGGCTAAGGGTAACCTGGGCCAAGAATCACCTTTTCCCAGAAGCCTCCCTGGACTCCTGAGCCAGCTCCTAGGGGCCTGCACACCAGTTCCCACATTTGTGCTAGTCACATAGCAGGGTTTGGCTGCATAGATTCAGCCCAGAGCTAAGCCCAGAGTGGTCAGAAAACGCCAGCCCCCCTGGAGGAGGTGTAAGTGAGGTTAACTGCGCTTTACTCAAGGCTCTCAAATCCTTTTAAACCAGGAACTCAAGAAAGTCAGGAAGCCAGCTCCCCGGAAGATAAGCAGGGCAATGTGTGGAAGGGAGAGACGAGGACTCGGCCAAGTGTGCAGGTGTTTTGGACGAAGCTGGTCTCCAAACTCAAACTCACCTCTGACTCCTGTTCTTTTCTAGTGACCCACATCTGAGCCAGAAACGATCCCGTGCTCTTCCTTTTCAGCACACAGCCTGTATCCCACCTCTCCTTCCCACTCCCGCTCTCAGCCAGCTCCTCTTGTGCCTGGGATGCTGTGATGGCCCCTGACTGATTTCCAGGCTGCCGCTGTAGTCCCATGACCTACTCTCCGCCCACCAGTCAATCATGAATGCCTCGTCTGTGACAGGCCTCCCCTCCACCCTCCCTGTGGCTCCCACTGTGCTCAGAGACAGAGTCAAGTCTTCCAAGCCTGTCCCCAACCTGTCCCCTCCCTTGTACGCTCTGCCTTTAGGGACAGTGATGTCTGCACTCGTCTAGCAAACCACATCCATGCACATAGTTCATCCTCTAGACACAGGATGGCTCTTGCCTTCTCTTCTTTTGGGGGTTCTTCTCACAAAAGCCCCTGGGACCTTCTCTGTTGGCACACCCCAAACCGCATCTGGCTTAATTATCCCTAGTGCCTCTCTCCACTGGCCTCTGTTATGCTCGGTGGGCTGGTTGGCTATCTCCTCTCTCTCGAGGAGAGTGAGGACTTTCATGAGAGCATCCTGCTTATTCGTGTGTCCTGGTGTTGGGAACACAGATCCCTCTCCCCCACCCCCCCAGAGATGGGAGGATCCATATCCAAAGTCTACCAGGGACGAGAGTAGTCCTTCACGGGCCATATCTTTTGTTTTACGTTGTACTTTGTGGTGATTTTGTGGAAAATGTCTGTGGCTCCATGGCTGGGGCTAAAGCTGATTTCTTGCTTTTTTGTCTTTTTTTTTTGGGGGGGGGGAGGTCAACAGGCATGGAAGACCCATGGGACATTATAGAGAGGGACCTGCCTGTGGTCAACAGTAGACAGCAAATGTAGGAGCCACTAGCAAGAAAGGCACATGGCTGCTTGTGGGTTCAGCAGGGAGGAACAGGATCCTGGCTCTGGAAGGCTCTGCCGGGGAGAAGAACTATGTGGGCTGTTCCAGAAGCTGGGCTGGAGGATGTGGGGCCTGGAGTTGCTTCTATCTGAGTGTGTCTCATGGCTCCAGAGTTACTCCCAAGATTCTACGAGTCACACTCTGTGATTGTGTTTTTTTTTAAACTTAAATAAAAAAAAAACCCTAATTTTTATTTAAAAAATGGAGAACAGTAAATTTGACTGGTGAAGATGGACAGTTGTGTGATGAGGAGGAATATCCTGAGGTTTGCATTTCTTCCATCGTGACCAGCAGGTGGGAGCTTCTCTGGAATAGCAAGTGAGTTCCTAGAACTCTGGGCCTCTGGGAACCCAGCAAGGGGTAAAATCGGAGCCTTGGGTTCTCTGCACCAAGTGTCTGGTGATTTGAGAGGACCGTGCAGCCCAGAATACATAGGGACTTTGAGTCTGTGGGGGGACAGTCCTAGAGATCTGCCACATGCGCATGTGTGGCTGTGCATTGCCGCATCCAGGGGTCGTGGGAGCATTGCCGTGGCCCAACCCCACCGCTCCACTGTCTCAGAGCCAGAGCTCCTCCTGGCTGCCTTACCCCTGCACTGGAAGCCCTTGGGGGGGGCCCAAGCTTGCACCTCTGGCACCAGGTTTTACATTGGTGCTATGGAGTGTGGTTTGTGAGTAGCTGTAAGACACCAATCTGAAGGCAGCTACGAGCAAGACCCCAAAAAGCTACAGGGGTGAACTAAAAATGGCCGGTGAACTTAAGCCGGAGGCAGAAAGGTAAAACTCTATGTGGAGGGAGATGGAGCCCTCAATCCAACGTCAGGACAGACTGCAGCTTAGTGTAAATGGGGAGCGGTCCCTCGACAGAGGGGCCAGGGAATGGCACGCACAGCCGGGTTGACTCGGAAGTGACTATGGGGCCTCAGAGATGGAGGACATAGAGAAGCTCTCATCGGACCCTTACCAGGACCCTAAGACAATCAAGGGGCAGCTATTGCTTCCAGTTTCCAGGAGAGGAAAAACCAAGGTCAGACATTGGATAAAGAGTGTACAGGCCAGCTTCTGGCATCTGGGCGTTGGGTGAAGATTCAGACGCCAGGCTGCCTGGCACACGTGTCTTTTTAAAAATCCCTCCCTCCCTCCCTTCCTTCCTCATGTCCCTCTCCAGACCCTGCTCCAACACCAGGAGCCCACAGTGACCAAGGCAGGACCCTTTCTGCCCACGTGGACTTTGCAGTGCCCGGTGTGTACAGAGAGTGAACCGCAGCACGCTCCCAGACTGAGACTGCCCTTCAGGTATAGTTAACGGGAGACGTTGGAACACCGCGTGGGAAAGGGCAGAGAACATCAGGGATGGTGTGTGTGCGTGGGGTCTCTGCAGGTGACGGTGGCAATGTAAGTTCTAAGTTGGTGAAAAGAAGTGAGAGAGAGTGGGCCTGACAGGATACCCCAGCACAAACCCAGCTCCCCGGTGATCAAGCGAAGAGAGGATGCACATCCCACTATGTACAGTGGCAAGACGCTCAGGGCCCTGGAATTCCCAAGTATGGTCAGGCATGCTATGGTGCCCCAGTGGACACAGGTGTGGGCCTGTCCATGGACCTCCAATGCAAGATTAAGGCACCCAGGCAGGAGCTCTCTACCACTGAGGATTCAGCAAAGCCCCTGGGGTGGTCTAGGTGGGTGTGGCCCTCAAGCCACCCTGCTGTCTTTTCTCCTGGAGAGGCTGGTGCTCAGAGAACTTTGCTTTGGGTATAAAGAAAGATCTGGGCTCAAATGCCAACTGGTACCAACGGCTTGGGTCCAGGAGCAGATGGGGTACCCTGTCTGTCCATGGACGGCCCCAGCTGTCCCCCAGAGGAGCTCTCTCCCCATCCCAGCTCCTCTTGCCACAGACTGCCTGAGTAAGCAGCCCCCAGAAGAGCCTGACTCATTCGCCTTGGCTCCTTGCCAGCGGAACAGCAGGGAGGACAGTGGCCCAGTGGCCTGGTACCTCCCAGTTTGGTCTGACTGCCCAGCCTCTTCTGGGAACAGGCAGGGGCACTCCCATCATGCCTCTGCTCTTGGTCCCTGTGCAAGCTTCAGCCTCCCAGGTCAACCTCTCCACCCTCAGCCCAGACCCAGCTAGCTTTCTTGCATGGATTTGCATGTTTATGTGTCATTGTCCCTCACTAGGCTGTGAGCTCTTGCAAGGCAGAGAGACCTCCTGAGTCACCTCCTAGTCCCAGTGCTCCTGGTAGGACTTGGCACGGTGCAGGAGCTATTTGGCAAATATTTGGTGAGGTCCCTTCCAGATCAAACAGGAAGTCCCCGCACCCTCGCCTGAGGACCGTCTCCAGCAGATGCCCCATGACCAGGCTCCTATGGGTGGCCCATCTCTCAGATGTGCGGCATGCAGGAGCATCTGTCACATTTCCTTACCATGCTTTCCGTGGCTGGTTTCCTTCCAGCCCATTCTCACTTTCTGTCTTGGAAAATCACAAGGAAACTCCATGCTGCTCCTGGAACTCTTGCCAGCGTGATTCAAGCGGAATTGAGCACATGGAGCCGTGTCCCCTACACAAGCAAAGATGTTGCTACTTTCAGCTCAATGGCCTCCTTTCTCTGCCAGCCTGGGTCCTCCTTGCCTAGGTGAGAAAGGACAACTCGTGTGTGTGTGCGTGCATGTGTGTGTGTGTGTGTGTGTGTGTGTGTGTGTCTGTCTGTCTGTCTGTCTGTCTGTCTGACCAGCCCAGCAGGAGTGCCATGAGACAGCTTGCTCACTAATGTGTTTGCTCCCAGGGTGCTCCATGGTTGGGTATGTCTAGGGTTGGCCGGCATAGGCTGATGAACAAGCATAGAGGGTAGCTGCCTGGGAACCCCTGAATTACCACCCACTCAGCTCCCACTCTTAGGTAGTTTCTTAAGCTTTGAGGGTCTACTTTCTTTCCTTTAATAAAAAATGTTTCTTTTTAATTCTTAGTCGTGTGTGTGTGTGTGTGTGTGTGTGTGTGTGTGTGTGTGTGTGTGTGAATGCACCTATGAGTGCAGGTGGCTAGAGAGCCCAGAAGAGGGTGCTGGATCCTCTGGAGCTGGAGATACAGGTGGTTGTGAGACACTCAGTGTGGGTGCTGGCAATTGAACTTGGGTCCCCTGAAGGAACAGTATGTGCTCTTAACTGCTGAACCATCTCTCCAGCCCAGTCCAGTTTCTTAGGAACTGTTTGTCTTGGGTTAAATGACTCGTTTTCTCTGGCCTCAGTTTTCCCATCTAGGACACAAAAGTGATATGGACACAGGGCGATCGGGGGACTGGATGAGGTGGACTCTAGGTGCCTGGCACAGGGCATGGTGCCTTGTGAGCCTTTGATGGACAAACATGTGGTGGCTGCTGCTTGGGGATGTGTGTTTGTGTTTGGATGTATGCAGGCTATACATTTCTATACCACTGTTCTTGTTACTGTGACATCAGCCCCCTGGTGCTTGAAAGAGGGGGTCTTTCAAACAGTCATGTGTTCTGTGTGCCTCCATCAGGGTCATGAAATGGCAAGGGCCGGGGGCAGATGTCTGTGTGGTTCTGGAGGCCTTCCTAACCTTGATGTAGCTTTCTTATCCCTCCTGCAGGCTAACACCGGGTTCCTGAGGCCATGTTTGAGATGGAGGCCTATTATCTACCCAGCTGGCAAAAAGGAGGAGGGGTAGAACTGGCTGCCCACCTCTGCCACATCTAAGCAGAGTGCCTCGGAACACATCAGTCATCCTCGGGGCTGGTGTCCTGCCTGTGAATGGGGCTGATCACTAAGCCTTCTTCAAAGGTTTCAGGAGGGGGCACTGTGGGCTTCCAGGGGCTGTGGTGTACAGTTCCGTCCCTAGGAACAAATGCTGTGGAGGGTATCCCTGTTCGTCTCTCGTGTCTTATCATAGGCTTGCTTTGTCGTGGACCATGGCTTCCCAGGCAGATGGCAGAGACTTGTAGCTGGATCTACTGCTTGCCAACACATGAAAGAGACACCTGAAGCTTACAGTTCCATGGCTGTGAGGGGACCTGGTTCAGATCCTGTCACATGAGAAAACCTTTGAGGTTAAAGGTCAGGCAGCCTGATGAGCCTGGGCACACACTGAATGGATCCAAGTTGTGTTTCCACCCTGATCCTTTGGGATCGTGGCAATATTCTTAATCTGTCCAAGCCTCAGTTTCTTCTTCTGGAGAATGGGGCTAATGGAGTTATTTGTGAGGCTGGGCTTCATTCATATATTCATTCTCTCATTCAGTCACTCCCTGCCCCAACTCCTGCTTCCTTCCCCGGCTGATACCTCACTCATCCAACTCAATCTCCAAACTTGCCAGACTGACTTTTCTCCTCCTCCTCCAGGATGTCTTCCCTCCTGACACCCTCTGGCCTGGCACCCTGGTACCTGACATTTACCCCAGTCAGCAGCATGTAGAAGGTGACGGCATGTCTGTGTCCCGGGCACTGGGCTGAGTCCTTTGCAGACAATTCCCACACTTAGAGAGCCGGAATTCAAACCCAGATAAGTCCTAAGCTTTCTGCTGCTCCCTCAGGCATCGGTTATGCATTTCTGTTTTAGTGGACCTTGATGTACTTAGCTCTGTGTCCCCAGGGCCCTGCGCCGTCTAGGGAAGCCAATGAGAGTGGCTGAGCAGATCCTGAGCACTCATAATGCATTGCTAGAACAATTACAGTTGAAAGGGAAAGAAGAAAAGCTGGGGCACACAAGGACCCCAGATTCCTATCTCCAGAACTCATTACCGCCCCACCCCCCATTTCACTGGGAGCAAAAGCCGTGGGAGAGGAAGTCCTTCCTACCCATCGCGTCATGTGCCCGATCCATCAGCTGCCGTGGACAGCATGCTCAGTGGACACAGTGAGGACAGGCAGGTCCCTTTCCCCGACCGAACTGACAATTAGACCACACTGCCCTGTGAACCAAGATGGCTCCAAGGCTCCTAGGCTGAATAGCCTTTGAGTTATTTGTACTTTACAGGAAAGAGCCCCCCTCCCTCCTCCCCGACTCTGGGACAGTGCATTTCTGGTGACTGCTGTGTGAAGGGCTCGGAACAAGCTGATAAGATGATACGGAAGTGACAGCACTCCCAGCGCCATCTCCTCCGGGTACCTGAAGCTTTTCCTTTCTAGAGCAAACTCTGTAATATTAATAAACGGTAGAGAGAAGGATGGAAGAGCGAGTCTTCCCTTTGACACGGCGAAGATCACAGGGACAAGAGAGACCTTTAATCTTTATTAATGTGTCTCGAGGGGGCCTCTCCTGCAAGCTGTGGGAAGCAGACATCCAAAGAGCTCGCATGGCTCCCAGTCCTCAGTGTCCCCGGGCGCCTCAGATCACTGCCTGGTACTGTTCAGAGTCGAGCAGGGCCGCGTCATGGGGACCTGCTGTGTCCTGGGCAAGAACAAGGTAGTCCTAAGCTGGCTCCCATCTGTAGGGGGCTGGAAGACAAGGGAATTCAGGACACAGGGCCCAGTCACGTGACCCGGCTTCTAACCAAGGGCACCAATGCCCTGAAGTGGTTCAGCAGGAACCAGGCTGTCAGTGGCCAGAACAGGCACACGTTCTGCCTACAGGGCCACACCTGAGTTCATTAAGGAATGCCAGCTCCTGCGCTCATTGGTTCCCGGGTGTCTCAGCTCTCTTCTGTCCCACCTGGCTAAAAGCTTCTTCCCACTTGCCCATCCTCCTCGTACTAGGCATGGCTTGAGAGTGGCTGGAAAAATCTGGAACTTGATATTTTTCAGGCCTCATTCCAATGGCCTCATGCACCATAGCTGGCAGAGTAAGACGGAGTGTGTGTGTGTGGGGGGGGAGAGTGAGGAAGGAGGGTCAGGGTCACACACACCTAAGAGGCCAAGAAATAGAGATGTGTGCCTTCATTCATCCATCCCAACATTCATTCATTGAAAAGTGTTTATTGATCCCCTATGTGGTGTTTCTCTGGGTGCCAGGCCCTGGACAAGGTTAATGTCACCAAAGTCACATCAGAATGCAATGTTAATTCTGGTGCTGTGGATGCTGCATGCCCTCTCCCTGCCGGGCACAGATCACACACAGCTTCAGAGAGATCAGCCCATCCAGGTCTCCCACCGGGTTGTGGACTGACCAGGATTTAACTTCTGTTCCAGGCTGGCTTCTGACTCTCTGTAAAGCCTCCTGACAGACCTGATCTGGGAGGGCTGGCGGGGGGAGGAAGGAGGAGGCAGCTGGAGTGTGCTCACCAAAGGCCTTGCCTAATTTGATTACATCTGCTAGACTGGCGTAGAATAAAGGGGACCGTCTCTTATCGGCACCCGCTCCTAATGTTTACAGAGCAAGAAAGGAAAATGTCAAGACAGGAATTTTAGTAGGGAGGGGGCACATGTTTAAAGCGGAAGTGTAGAGAGAATAGACCTGGAAACAGAGTTTCTGATTGACACTTAGCTCTGATGGCACTGAGGCAGGACCCTCAGAAGGTCAGGCGGGTATCTGGGAGCTGATGGGGGCAGAGGGCCCTTCCAGGAGGACAGCAGGACATGGAAGGAAGGTGGGGATGGCAGGTGGCTGGGGCATGTGCGTGGCCACTCAGGTTTATTTCCCGTAACTCCTCACTCTTTTCCAAGTCCTCTGCTTCCCTCCCAATATCTACCTTTCAGGCAGCTGGAGGACATTGCTAGCACAGTAGAGCCCACAATTAGTGTTAGGCTCGGCCTAGGTTAGGCCCTGCCTAGGTTAGAGGTCTCGTCAGCCCACTCCTGTGCTGAGTCCTGGGTCAGTGGCTAACTGTACTGGACATCCATGTCCTCATCTCTAAGCAAGGAACAAAGCCACACCAGACTCACAGGGCTTTGATGATGGCTAATGAGCCAGTGCACACAGAGCTCTCATGGTCGCTGGTATGTTCAACAGATGAGAGCTGCTGTCTTTACTGCATTCAATGTTTCCAGTGCTGAGGAACAAGCCCAGGGCCTCCAGCCTGTTAGGCAAACACTCCCTCTCTGTCACACACTAGCTTGTCATCACTGTAGGCCTTCTCATGATACTTCCTTTTTAAATTCCATGAGTAAACACACACATGCTCATGCATGCACACATATACATGCACATGACACATGCACACACATACATGTACCCACACTCACACATATCTCTACACACATACACATCTATGCAGGCACACCTGCACACACATACATGCCCACGTATGCATACACATATACATGAATGAACATGTTCATACATGCATTTGCTCATGTACACACATGTACACACGTGTACACACATATACATATACATATGCATATGCCAAGACACTTACATGCACACATACATACATAAATATGTACATGCACAAATGTGTGAAGGCACACACATAGTTGCACATGTACACACAAGCACACACATATGCATACATATATACACATACAAACATCTATGTATATGTATACATACACACATACACATATACATGTACACACATACATACACACATGGGAAAACACATACATATATACATAGTACATGCACACATGAATGCATACACACACACACACACACACACTGCTCAATTCAGAAATGAACAAAGGACCAAAATCAACATCTCCCCAGGAGGAATGCCCCCCCACACACACACGGCAATGCTCTGTGTCTCTAACCCCAGGGGCTGTGAGTCTAACTCACACTGAGAAGACACATCACCCATTAGTGTGCCTGCTTTTAAGAGCCTGAGTAAAGAGTGTTGGTGGAGGTGGAGAAACTGGAACGCTGCACACTGTGGGTAAGATTTAATTAAATGGTGCAACCAGTGTGGAAATGGTATGGGTGTCCCTCTAAACTTAAGAATAGAATGACCACACAACTCAGCAGTTGCACTCTGGGCACACAGACAAAAGAGCCGAAGGGGTGAGAGCTGTCAGCATATTCTTGTTTACAGCTGAAGACCCAAAGTCCTCCATATGACCCTTGGTGGTGTATGTAGTGTATCCATCCCATGGAATATTATTCAGCCTGAAAACAGAAAGTTCTTCCACAGGGACCACCATGAGGTAGTGGGATGGCACCAAGGTTTAGAATCTGTAGCACAAACTAGAATAATCCAAAAAAAAAAAAATGAATACCATGTGATATATGAGATCCCTAAAATAGTCAAAACTTTAGAGACAGAAAATGGAATGGGGTGTCAAAGATTGGAGAAGAGAGGAATGTGGAACTAGTGTTTAATGGGCACAGAGTTTCGGTTTTATAATAGTAAGCATTCCAGAGGTGGATGGTAGAGATGGTTGCACATGACCATATCTGATAGTACTGGTCACATTTAACACCACTGATGGTATCTCACACCACTGAGGATATCTCACACCACTGATGGTATGTCACACCACTGAGGATATCTCACACCACTGACCATATCTCACATCATTGATGGTATCTACACCACCGATGGTATCTCATACCACTGAGGATATCTCACACCACTGACCATATCTCACATCATTGATGGTATCTACACCACTGACCATATTTCACACCATTGATGGTATCTCATACCACCGATGGTATCCCACACCACTGATAGTATCCCACACCACTGAGGATATCTCACACCACTGATGGTATCTACACCACTGACCATATCTCACACCACTGACCATATCTCACACCACTGATGGAATCTACACCACTGATGGTATCTCATACCACTGAGGATATTTCACACCACTGACCATATCTCACATCATTGATGATATCTACACCACTGATGGTATTTCATACCACTGAGAATATCTCACACCACTGAGGATATCTCACATCATTGATGGTATCTACACCACTGACCATATTTCACTCCACTGATGGTATCTCACACCACTGATGGTATCCCACACCACTGATGGTATCCCACACCACTGAGGATATCTCACACCACGATGGTATCCCACACCACTGATGGTATCCTACACCACTGATGGTATTCCACACCACGGACCATATTTAACACCATTGAATGAATCTCAACACTGGCCATTTCTCAAAAAATGATTGAGGTGGCAAATTCTATGTTATATGCATTTTATCACTATAAAAAAATTGGGAACCTTTTCCCAAATGTGTGTGGGTGGAGGCTCTTCCTTGCCCTCAGAGGAAACCACACTTGTAGCCTGGCTCTCAAGGCCATCATTGGCCTGCTTCCCTTCTGCGTCCTGGCTCCCTCCCATCACACTCTGTGCTCCTGATGGACCCAGTGTCCATGGCTCTTCAACCTCTGGGCACTGCTGTGCTTCTTCCCCTGAAACCACCTTCCTGTCCCAGGCCCAGATCCAACATGGAGTCACACTGAAGACTCACTCTTACCTTGGAGAGCTCCTTCCAAGTCTTGGTGGGCTCTAGATCTCCTACTCCTTCATTAGTACCACCATACAGCCCCTTGCTAGAGTATGATCCTACCTCCTCCTCCTCACTTTATCACTCTGAGCAGTCTCCATGACTGATCTGACCCCTTTGGATAGTGATGGATCATGCCCAAGCCTTTGTAACCCCCTCCCAGGCCAACTGGATGATTGGCACGAAGTCTAAGTTGGTGGCTGCCTGATGACGTTGGCTTCAGAAAAGGAGAGCATTTGCTGGGCATGGTGCACATACTTTCTGTCTCAGCTACTGTGGTAGGAGGAATGGCGTGAGCTTGGGAGTTTGAAGCAAGCCTGGGCAATCTAGAAATATCCTACCTCTTAAATAAAACCAAAAGAAAACAAGAACACACTGGCCGGAGGAGCTCTCATGTCTCTCAGGTTGTAATAAAGCACGTCCTAGTCCAACCCCGGGGGCTGCTTCTCTCCTGGGCGGAGGCCCTTAGACAGATAGCCAGGGGCGGCCACTCCAGCCTGCCTTCTTGCCTCTGGAGCAGGAGGGATAGAGCAAAGGTTTGTGTTTCTCCTTTGAGAAATCAGGTCACTGGGTGTTGCTGAGTGTGCCTTACAGAGCTATGCTAATCAGTTCTCTTCTGGCCTAAATATCTGGTAATTATCTTGGTTTTTTGCTCTGCTAGACTTGGCTTCCTGAAACAGTTCATCCATGCTGTTACTTCTCAGCTCAAGCTCCTTCAGGATATTAACCACCATCAAACAGAAAGCCTGCCTTGCCCTCGCCTCGTGCGCGCACGCTGTTCTGAGCCTTTAACCCACGCGCACGCCTCAGATCTCCCCACAGCTTCTGAGGCGGGTCATACTAGTGCCCCAGCTCAGAGGGGAGGGCACCAGGACTACTGCTTCTGTAGCTATAGGCCCCTCTCCCTGCCCCCTCTCCCTGCCCCCCTACCTAGTCCCTCACTCTCCGATGGCTGCCTCATCCTGGGCATGCTCAGAGGGTGGATTTCCAGGACAAGCCCAAGCTCCCAGGTGGTGTAAGGACGGAGCATCCTCCTGCACATCCACTCAGCTGTGTTAGGGTTCTTGA